TTCTGTGATTCATGCACAAGGACACCCAGGTCCCTCTGCATAGCAGCCTGCTGCAACTTTTTACCATTCAAGTAATAATCCTTTTTACTATTACTCCTACCAAAATGTATGACTTCACATTTATTTACATTGTATTCCATCCGCCAGACCTTTGCCCACTCACTCAATGTATCTATGTTCCTCTGCAAAGTTTCACAGTCCTCTGCACACTTTGCTTTGCCACTCATCTTAGTGTCATCTGCAAACTTTGACACCCTACACGTGGTCCCCAGCTCCAAGTTATCTATATAAATTGTAAATAATTGCGGTCCCAACACCGATCCCTGAGGCACACCGCTAGTCACTGACTGCCAGCTAGAATAGCACTCATTTATCCCCAATCTTTGCTTCCTGTTGGTCAACCAATCCTCTATCCATGCTAATACTTTACCCATAATGCCATGCATCCTTATCTTATGCAGTAGCCTCTTGTGCGGCACCTTGTCAAAGGCCTTTTGGAAGTCTAGGTACACCACATCCACTGGGTCCCCATTGTCCACCTCGCTCAGAATGTCTTCATAGAATTCCAAAAGATTTGTCAAGCATGACCTGCCCTTCATGAACCCATGCTGCGTCTGCCCAACGGGACAATTTCTATCAAGATGCCTTGCTATTTCTTTCTTGATAATAGACTCAAGCATCTTCCCTACTACAGAGGTTAAGCTAACTGGTCTATAATTCCCCATCTTTTGTCTACTTTCCTTTTTAAACAGTGGCATCACATTTGCTGTTTTCCAACAGCAGGATCAGCCATGATCTTATTGAATGGCGGAGCAGGCTCGAAGGGCCAGACGGCCTACTCCTGCTCCTAGTTCTTATGTTCTTATGTTCTATCACTAGACTAGTAATCCAGGGTCCTGGGGTACATGGGTTGGAATTGCACCAGGGCAAACAGTAGAATTTGAATTGATTCCGGGTGTATTAATCTAGTGATAACTGTGAAACCATTGTCATTTGGTTCACTGATCTTCTTCAGGGAAGGAAGTCTGCAGTCCTTCTCCATTCTGTCCTACACATGACTCCAGACCGTCAGCAATGTGGTTGATTCTTAAATGCCCTCTGACATGGCCCAGCAAGGCACTCAGTTGTATCAAATTGCTACAAAGTCTAATAAAAGGAATGAAACCAGACAACATTGAACAGTGCACTGGAAGTGACAATGGTAAACTCTGTCCTCTTGTCCCTTGTCTTATCAACATCTGGGCATGAGCCAAAGTTAGGAGTGTGGTCAACTGACAGTGTAACATGAGTCATATTAATGGAATCAGAGCTTTTGGACAGTGTACAGTCAACTGAAGAATGCCCTTAGAGTTTGTTTTCCATGTAGGTTTGTCTTTTCTCATGCTCCCTGGCTGTGCTTCCTCAGTGACTGCAGCCTGCCTGCTGACTATGACCAGGGGAGATTGCAGGGAGCTTTGCTGGACACCCAGCTCTGGATCCAGAGGGACCAGCTTTGGACTGGCATACCTCAGTATGGGCAACATCAATCTGGCCTAGCTGGCTAATCGGCAACTGGGAGGGTTGCAGGAGTGGGAGGATGAAAAGTTCATTCTGAGAGAGAGAAGCTCCATTGCGGCACTGTAACTCCTTACCCCCCCGCCCCTGGACCAGCAGTTGTAGCAATGCGTCGGGGCACAGTTTGCTGGGTACTGCCAGTTACTTGTAGCTCTGACGTGCACAGCCATGATGACTGCAGTCCAAGTGAGTCTGCATCAGTCTCAGGTTCCATTGCAGCTCTCAGATACTGAGTGGCTTCTGCCTGTGCTTCTAGTTGCATGCTGGAAAGGAGGGTCTTAGAACTCCCCACAAAACTCAGGATCAGGTTGATGCCAAGCTGCTGTTTCACTGCTCTGTGGAGATGCAGGTTGGAGGCATGGCATGAGGTAGTGTGGAGCAGGAAAGTGGGGGAGTTCTCACCTAGATGGCAGCCCAGTAGATTCCCACCCTGTACTGTACTGAATGCAGATTCCTTGATTTTCTAAGTCATGGATGAGGGATGAAACAGCAGGGAAGTTGCCGCACTGTGGAGATGGGTGATAGAATTGAAGTATGAGCAGCTGGCGATGTGATGGAACAGATATACAATCAGAAGGTCGGTTCTGGATGTCAAGTTGGTGAATATTCTGGTTCAGCTAGGACAGGGAAAAGGACTGTGTCAGTTTCTAGGAAATTGATTTGGTGGCAGTGACGGAAAAGAATGGCTTCAATCTTCCCCAAATGTGTTTGGAGTAACGTTCTGCAATTTAATCAGCAGCAGGTCAGTGAGATTGTGTGGAGAGTGTGTCCCAAACGTGGGGTCTTAACAGCATTAATTCTCATGAGTTTTTCCGGAATATCTGCTGCTCATCTAGAAATTTCCTGAGGCTTCCACTGAAGTGATGAGACATGATCGGGAAATGAGGAAGGAATTCAGGTCCCTACAGTGTGGCCAATGTACAATTAGACTGTGAGGTTTGAATGTGAGGCTGCACTGTGGAGTGACGCATATTTCAACCCTGGGGAGGTGCCAAGAAATCAAGACTTATGATCAAAAAGTGACGGAGGATCAGCGATACGTAGTAGAAAATAGATGTAGTTCAATGAAAATGTTTGTGTTGCAGTTGGAAAGTTACCGGTGGAGCTGGCATGTCATGATCCTGGTCAGTCATTTCGAACTGGAAGCCCAGATGATCTATTGGGATTCGATATTTCCGTGCATAGTTCTGGATAGCACCTGTCAGGAAGCTCTGAGTGAAGTAAAATCCAGAGATCCAGAAAACAACTGGGGTTCCTTTATGAATCCAGGTCTGAAATACATTAGAACATAAAAGAGATTAAAATAGACACAAACATCTTTATATTGTGTTTCTAATGCAGCAAAATTCATGATGATAATCAGACGAGTATATTCAGAGATAACTTTACAATGACCCAAAAAAGGCACTGTTATAGAGATAGGTTTTAAGGAGGATCGTAAAGGAGGACACTGATGTGGACAAGTGTATAAAGAGTATTCCTGAGAGAGATCTTGTTATTAAAAGACCTGCTTCTATCTGTACCTGAAAGAACTGAATTCTGGAGAGGAGGTCAGTGATGTAGCTGCCCAGAAGTTTCAGTGATGGATAGGACTTTGCTGACCACATGGAGGGCACCTGCAAATTCAAGCAAAGGACAAAATTCAGATGCAATTCTGTGGAACCCACTTTATCTCCATTATCCATTAGTGACAAAGAGAACCTCACACTATCTCCATTATCCATTAGTGATAATGTGAACTCCACCTGCAGGCTTTTAAGGTCATAGTGAAAATTTGTAGCTGGGGTTGTGGATGCAGATGATCGTTTGCTCGCTGAGCTGGTTGTTCCGTGGTGTGCAGACATTTCGTTACCGTTCCAGGCAAAATCATCAGTGTGACCTCTAATCAAAGTGTTGGTGTTCCGCTTCGTTCCGAATTTATATGATCCTCTAGTGTGGTGGGTCTTGTCACTTCCGGTTCTGTTTTTTAGCAGTGGTCTGTATCCGGGGTCTATTTCTATGTGCTTGTTAATGGAGTCCCATGTTGAGAACCAGACCTCCAGAAAGTCCCTTGCATGGCTATTGTCCGCTTCTCCCAGTCGAACTGATGGCCCTCATTGTCTGTGTGTATCAAGACAAGTGAATATTGGTCATGTCTTTTTATTGCCAGCTGGTGTTTGTGTATCCTGGTCATCAGTTTCCTCCCTGTTTGTCCAACGTAATGTTTATTGCACGTGCTGCATGGGATTCATATATCATGTTAGTCCTGCTTACTGTCAGTCTTTAGTCTTTGACAGCATTTGATGCAGTGTTGATGTAAGTTTGTGTGCAATCATGATCCTATGCGGTCTAAGGAGTCTGGTTGTCATTTCCGATATATTTTTGTTGTAGGGTAGAGTTACTAGTGTCTTCTGTTGTACCGTGTCCTCTGACTGTCGTTTGTTTTGTAGGCATGGATGGATGAAACATCTTGGGTATCTGTTGTCAGTAAATACTTTGTGCAGGTGTTTCTCTTCCATTCTCTGGATTTCTGGGGTATTGCAGTGCGTTATGGTTCATTTAAATAGTGTCTTGATGCAGCTCTGTTTGTGTATGGTGGTCTGGTTTCTATTGAAGTGAAGGATTTAGTCCGTGTGTGTGGCCTTCCTGTATACTTGGGTCCGAAATTTGCCATTAGTCAGTCTCTCTACCCTTACATCTAAGAACAGGAGAGGGTTGTTCTTTTCTTCCTCTCTAGAGAATTTGATGCTTGCAAAGATGTTGTTAACAAGTTGGTGGGTTTCTTCTACTTTTGTGCATTTGATTATTACGAATGTGTCTTCCATGTATCTTACCCACAGTTTCAGGTGGATTATAGGAAGGGCTGTGTGTTGCAGTCTCTGCATCACTGCTTCCGCGATGAGACCTGAGATGGGTGATCCCATCAGTGTGCCTTTGATCTGTTTGTATATCTGACTGTTGAATGTGAAGTGCGTTGTCAGGCATAAATCTAGTATTTCAGAAAGCTGTCCTTGCTGATGTTGTTGCTGGTGTTCAGGGTCAGTGCTCCTGGCCCTTCTAGTAATATGGCCGTTGTGTCTCTCTGGCTAATGGTATGTCAATGGATGTAAATAGTGTTGTAACATCGAAGTTGATATGATTTCATCCTCATCAATTTTTGTGTCCCTGAGCTGTGTGAGAAATTCTTCGGCCGAATGGATTGAGCGTGGGGATCTGCTAATCAGGTGTTTAGTCTC